TAAAATCGCTCGCGGAAAATACAGCCGCGTGAGAATTGCCTTTAACTCACGTGACAGCACGGTGACGTCAAATATACGAACGGCGAGTCGGCATGATGTCATCGCGTATTTTTAAATTTGTCGCCGTGTGAACGTGGTAAACACGGATTTTTGACAATCGTACGTATTTTTGGATCTATTTTATCGCGATCGATAAAAAGGGTGGAAAGAATTTTGGACAGATGCGTTTGCAATTTCAATTATACTATATTAATGGCAGGAGTTACGTCCGAACGCTTATCTTATCTCGAGACTTTTCGATAAATACTTCGATAAATATTTCGATAAATAAACGGTTTGATCTGACTCGCGATTCGACCACATCATTCCGTTTGAGTGTATCCATGATTTGGCGATTCAGCTCGGTGTCACCATGGCTAAACGAGGCTAAACGAGACGAGCGAGAAAGCTTGATTTATACATCCGGAAAACGAGACCGATCGTCTCGTCGTAGCGAAAAAATGTCACGTATCTCCTGACAAATCGACGCCTCTTTGATACACTCGGTACGATGTAATTATTTGGCTCGCGTATACGTACAGGCAGATTCAGAAGTTATCTAAATTTAACTTGAAAAGCTATTTTGTACATTTACCACAAACACGCTCGTTAGGTTCTACTTTCCAGGTTTGCAAAATGTTACGCGTTGCACTGCACGAGGTAACGGCAATAAACTATTCTTATCTACGTACGTTCTACGTGTTGTTACATGCGAAAATATAATTTCCTCGAGTCGTTATATCGCGTGAAAGCTCGCACCGACGCGACCAATTAAAATTGGACCTTCTATTCGTCTCCGATGGCCACCGAAATCCGGCGATCTCATCTTTGAATCATCTCGTATTTTCGTTCGGATGATGGCATCGCCTTCGCCGTCGGCAGACACACGAGTTTCATACGTGAAATTTGCACACGAATCGTAGCCGCATTTTTTTCACGAAAGAAAAGAAACCCAAGTATCCATCGATCCATCGAGAAAGCGAATTACGAAATAATCGAGTTGCTCCTGCCGCGACCGCCAACTGTTCCACCGTACTCAACGGAAATAAGGTTGTTCGCATAACGATCGATCGACTCCGAACGACGAGATAAACCAGTCTTCCTTCTTTTCCGGTCGACGAATCTTAGGTTTCGTCGCAGTCTCGTTTCTTTTTCCTACGTAACAATATTCCAATTCGTAGATAGATGGAGATAATTGATGAACGCCGTGTACACGGAGAAAGGAGGAACGAGGGATTTCTTGGCGTTCGAAACAACTTAACGATGAAACGGCTTCTGACAGGAGACTGAATCATTGAATCGGTAGAACCGGATTCTCTCGTACACATGGGAAAGTTCTTCCATCGGTTCGTCATCGAGGCTGTCACGCGAACCTCGAAGCTCTATACCCAGTCTAACGGAGATTAATCCTAGATCGGCAACCTTGCATCATAGAGTCGATTCCCCCGTAATTTGAATCAAGTTATATACTTGATTGTCCTTGCCTTTGGTTTATTTAGTATCTCCTGCGTCTTAGGTGACGAGGACCATGCATGGAATTTACCGTATAGACATATAAAATACGAATCAAAAGTAAATAAAGTCTAACATAAAGTATCGTGATTTAACGATAGGACTAATAGGAGAGCATTTCCAAGGTAAACCTTAGAGATCGCTCGGATTTACTGGATGTACGTTAATTGAATGGTCGTTGCGTTTCCCGAGGCGAGAAAGGAACGTTTCATTTCACCGCGAGGAAGCCGTGAACGACGGAGAAAAAGTTGCGGCGTGAGTCAGCCCGC